GCAGTGTTCAAGGCCAGATTGGACACAGGGGCTTGGAGCAACCTGCTCTAGTGGAAGGTGTCCCTGCCCGTGGCAGGGGTTGGAGCTGGAGGAGCTTTAAGGTCTCTTCCAACCCCAACCATTCTGTGATTCTATTCTGTGATTTTGAATGGTTTCCTATAAATTCCTATGATGTTTCTAAACATCCCTTAAGACTTTAATCCTTAGAAGATGAAACTTTTAACATAGCCTAATCATGTGAGCTTTGTCTAAATTAAGTTACATGACTATACCTACTAATCCAATTGGAAAAAATAAATATGGAATAAAATTGATATGTACGTGTATGTATAAACCTCTTCCTGTTCCCTTGCAATGATGGGAAACTTTTATGCTGAAGGAAAACAGCCCTTAGCTTTTAAACAGAATGAGGTTGTTCTGCAATTTTATGAGAATTCATTTCCTAATGGCTTTAGGTCTACTCTTTTCATAAAATATTGACCAGCTACTGTGCTGTTCTCCATAAGCAAGTCACTGAAGGTGGAGAGCTGAATGAGAACAAATTCTCTCCTACTGAAAAATGCATGTTCTGTTGCAAAAATGCCACTTCAGGAATGCTTAAAAATAATTTGGAGAGCAGGAATCTATTGGTAAGTTGAGACTTCACATAAACAAGACTAAAGCACTGCAGAAGATGGAAGCAATAAAAAACTATGGAGTGAGTCCACATATTAGGACTATAAATAGTAGTACATTTTTTCACTTATCTTCCACTTGGCTGGCAGGCAATGCAAATATAGTGTGGATGACCTGGAAATGGCAAAGCAAGACAAGAAGAAACACGTTAACAAAGATGTAAAATACAGCAAAGTCTTGTGAGAATCCAGTTTACTTTGCACCCTTCTATTTGGTAACTTTCCTTACTCCAGTTGTTATGCTGGATTTGGAATTAACTTTCATTCTGCAGAACACCTCAGTGCCAAATCTGTGCAAATTAGGCTACTATAACCATTTTATTTGATCCTTGAAGCCAGTTTGCAATTTGCATCTGTATTCTACATCAGTGATGAGCACTGTTATTGGAGATTAAAGCATGTCTCACTTGATATTTTACGTTTCTGCTGTGAAGACTAATTGCTCCTTTTAGAAGGACACTGACAAAATTACCAGTGGTCTATTAACCCCTAACAATGGAGGATCACAGTTCATGTCTGGTTGAGTTAATGCTTGATTTCTTCTTGTTTGCAGTCCACATGAATAAATGAAAGTCTCATTCGGAAAAATCCCAGAGGCCCATTTTCAATAGCTACATGTGCCCAGAAGCACAAAAGCAGATAGACATTACAATGCAGTGAGTGCTGCACCGCAGTAATAAGTTCTCAGACAAGTAGGAAGAGAACAGCAACCTAAAGAACTGAAGTCTATTACTTGCTAGTGAGGAAAAACTCCAGGCTGAGGTGTATTTTCAGTGGACCTCTCCACTCCTTTAGCTTTACATGGGAAGAAGAGAATGAATCTGACAATTTTTGAAAACAAAAGGGCCATGAGGTATCTACTACCAAGAATGGTTTCAAGAAGGAACAAGTGTTCAGGCTATACTTCAGCTGTCCTGGATCTCAGATGGTCTTGGGCCATTTCTCTGTACAAAGCAGTGTTTCTGCAGAGAGCTCTGTTTGATGAGCAGGTGGAAAGCTGGAGGTGAAATCCCCATCAGCTGTGCAAGGCGATGCTGTCTCCATGTGGAGTTCAGAGCTTTTCAGCTCCCAAGACACATTTGAATGCTGAGTGTAGGTGTCTTTAAACATGTCTTGAAATCTCACTGTGTTTCAGTGACCCCCAGGCACTTTGAAAATGGAACTTTAGCCATGAAGTAGTTTTGAAATTGTGTCTGTGCTTTCCTCATCCCTTAGACATAGCTCTATAGAGCAGATACACAGTTAGAAAGGGGCACAGGAGCAACGCGTAAGTCAGGCAAGTCCGGGTTGCTAACTTGGGCCTCTCTGAATGTGACATATATGAATCCTCCCCTTTCACTTCAGATTTTTGTGCACAACCCCATAATCCTGCTTTGTGTAGCAGTGTTGAATGAAAAACAGATACAGCTCAAAGTGAAACATTTCTTCCCTTAAAGGCAACCTCCTCAGCTGATTGATCAAAATGCTGTCCAAGGGACGGTAGGTTTGCTGTCAGCTAAAGCCATGTGAGGAATCTACACTTCTATGCTATTTAGGCATTCACAGTGTCAGCTGCTGCAAAAAACTCCTTTGTGCCTCCATTGTTCCCTTTTTCCTGGGGAAAAAAGGGAGTCAATTTATTTTTTCCTTAAATTACAAACCAATTACAGACCCAAATACTGAAAAAAAAAAGTTCTAGAAGTGCTTGAATTAGATTTCCTTTTAAAGAATGTGTATTCCAAGAGCTGGATCAATGATGCTTAAAGAACTGGTATTCAATACTTTTTACCTACACCATTTAAGTTCCTTTCCTACCTCTGTCTATGGCAAGTTTCCCAGTTGCTCAGATGAGGTATTGTGGGAACATCTTCGCTCACTGCAGTCCTGCACACTGACCACCTCAACAAACATGAAATCTTTGGAGAACCAAGCTGAATTCTAACAGACTTCTCCAGCACATGTAAAACCAAAGCTTTTCAGACAGATACTGGGTTGACTTCTCCAGGAAAAAAGAGTGATACATGCCTGACACCAGAGCAACCCACTGCCACATTTGAAGACCCAGACCCAAGACATGAAGGCAGTAGAGCACCTGAGCTGAAGCGCTTTAAGAGTATATAATAAACTGAGCAAAACCACCTCTTTTACCCCAGTCTTTTCCAACACCTAACCCATTTCATTGACATTTTAGGTAGTAACAGTAACGTAATCAGCCTGAGATACATGAAATTTCAGCTTGGAAGTTTACAGCTCAGCTAAATTACAAGTAACCGAGAACAGGTTTATTGTGGAAGGTGTCAGGAAAAATGTCACAGGAGCAACACTGTGTGCTATCCATAATACAGTACCAGATTGTGAAATATTTGGACTATTCAGCAGGCAACACTGTTAGCATGTTTGCCTGGAGGATTAATGATGCTAAATGACATTATTTATATACTTCTCAAAGCAATACAGAATGTTTCTGCAGCTCCTCATCTGTCTGCTATGCCTGTAGAAAACCATGATGCCTCCATGGCTGCCAGTGCAATTATGACAAATTTCATAAGTAAGATCCACTTTTCAGGGTTAATTTCCAAGTTTCTTTACTCAGTGAATGAGAAATGAAGTTAAAAGCAGATGTTTTAGGAAGTTAGACAGGGCTGGAATGAGTTTAAATGTTAACACAGATTAATAAGTAGAATACTGTGTTCATTTGAGCTAATTATTTTCTCAGAAGGCATCAATCCTGTTTAGGCAATTACACAGCCTGAAGTCTTCATTTCTTATCAGTGCTACCAAGGGACTTCATCTGCTAGTTTAAGTTTCAGACCGTTCATGTGTTTTTAATTACACAGATTTAATTTGAAAGCCGCATTTGAGCTGTTTCCATGTGAATATTCTATGCTTACAGAGAAATGCATTTATTCTAAATTTAAACTGTAACTATAGTAACCAGCATTCATGTGTTTCAGTAGAAAATATGTAAGCACACTCAGATAGAAGGAAACATGTTAATTATCACTAGTTAGACTAGAGGTTATATTTTAAAAACTAATTATGAGAAATTATGTATTCTTACTATCCAGACTTAGAAATCAAGATATCTGTAGGAAGTCATTTGTGTGAATCTGTGAAAGTTAGGAAAAGGGTCATATATGGACCAGTTTGGAGGATATAATAAACCTCATTTTTCCCCTAGCTATTTATTGCCTAATAAAAAAATAATATCAAGGTCTTAAAAGCTAGTTTTGCAGGATTCAACTTGGATTTTCTAGAGCAATTCCTAATCTTAGACAAATAGAGTTACTGTTTCAATTATAGGTAAATCATCATATTTTTTTCTTGTGCCAGTAGATGATAGATTCTGAAGAAAATTTTGCAAAGGTAGTAAATGTCATTTTTACAGTAATGCCCATATTAGTCAAGGTGAGTAAGGACATGAATAGCTTCAAGAATCATAAAATCATAGAATGGTTTACATTGCCGAGACCCAGGTGTAGGACCTTGCACTTGGCTTGGTTGAACTTCATGAAGTTGGTGGTGTCCCACCTCTTGAGCCTGTCAAGGTCCCTCTGATGGCATCCCTTCCCTCCAGTGTGTCGGCTGCTCCACACAAATTGGTGTCACTGGCAAACGTGCCGAGGGTGCAATCAATCCCGTTGTCCATGTCACAGACATGTTAAACAACGCTGGTCTCAGTACTGACCCCTGAGGAACACAATTCATCACCAGTCTCTACTTGGACACTGAGCCGTTGACCTCAATTCTTTGAGTGTGACCATCCAGCCAATTCCTTATCCACTGAGCGATCCATCCATCAAATCCATGTCTCTCCAGTTTAGAGACAAGGATGTCACGCAGGACAGTGTCAAATGACTTGCACAAGTCCAGGTAGATAATGTCAGTTGTTCTTCCTTTATCCACCAACACCATAGCCCCATCATAGGAAGCCGCCAAATTGGTCTGTGCTTTGTGAAGCCATGTTGGCTGTCACCACTCACCTTCTTACTCTCCATGTGCCTTAGCATAGATTCCAGGAGGGTCTGCTCCATGATCTTGCCAAGGACCGAGGGGAGACTGACTGACCTGTAGTTCCCCAGATCTTCCTTTTTCCCCTTTTTAAAAATGGGGGCTATGTTTCCCCTTTTCCAGTCAGTGAGAACTTCACTGGACTGCCACAACTTCTCAAATACGATGGAGAGTGGAGGAACTGACCTGACATCTCTTTCCAATTTATAAAATTTGCTTTAAATGCTCATGTTATGCATAATAAGCCACCAATGGTCTTGGGAGCTCAGATCTCAAATACATCATACAGAACACTGCTATAATCAGCATGTGTTTCTTTCTTTTTCTGTTCTCCAGAGTTGAAAGGAAGGAGCGTGCACGTTTGAAGACGGTGAAATTCAACGCGAAACCTGGTGTAATTGATGCAAAAGGGGTACGTAAATAGTGAAACATTTTGAAATTGAACTTTGTAATTGGTTTATATGTTTCAGAGTAGAGAAAATTTTAGCAGCATAACAAATATTGAGATTGTTGCAACCAAGACACGGGGTATAGTGAAATATAGATGGTTATAGTATGATATCATCTTTGAAGTAATTAAATACTCTTTTTATAATAATACTGACTGACAGTGCCTCCTAATCAGAAGATACCAAGCAATAAAGGGCATTCTGTGATAGCTGTGCTTTTAGTTAAATGATGGATAGAAAAGACTAAAAACCAATGCAGGTGGATAATTGTTTCATGAAACAGGGCAAGAAGTGTAAATTCCCTGGCTTCAAAAGCTGTCAAGTATCAAACTGAGGTTGAAAGTTAGAAGCAAAGTTTAGGTTTTGGATGTCCTGCTTTGACAGTTGTGACAGACATTGAACACAAGTGTGTTTCGCAGCAGGCATGATGGGTCAGCCACCATAAAACATGCAAGTTCCCTTTCACCAGCTACATCTGGAGAGAACAGCATTCCTACTGTTACCACTCTGCAGCATCGCTTTATTGTGCCCAACAGCCAAGAGTTCTCACTAGCCTGATGTCTAATATCCTGCACCTTGCTGTCTGGCTGGCGAAGAGTTATAGCAGGAGAAGTGCCCACAGTCCTGGCTGTTGAGGTGTATTTTTCTGCTGAAGTGTAGCTTCCATTTGCAGCAGGAGTGAACACTTGACATTACATCTGCAGGGATTTATTTCTGAAAACGGTCCAGTTGGCATGCATGGGATTTACAACTGAGGGCTTCCATGAGCAAACCAAGCAGCAGAGCTTCAAAAACCATCAGCAAATAGTTCTGTTTGGCTGCAGAAAACACAGGGCAAGGCCAAAACTGGGTGATGAGAGGACACAGTTGTCGATAGGTGCCAGCAAGGGACTCAGCAGGTCCCTTCCAGACTTGCTGCTCCTGCGGTCCTCTGCCTAGTTTGAAATTCTCATTCTTCATCTCTTCTTGCTTCAGTTTCCCTCTGTAATGGGAATAATAGTACTTCCTTTATCTGAGTTTATTCTGTCCTTGCACATAGATTAGCAGCGTAAGAAGTTCCTCTAGCTATGAACATGCACTTCCTAGCGTGGTGGGTCCCAAGCCCATACATGCCAGCAAATTAACATTTCAGACTTGCAAATACTTTCCTGTTACTGCTCTAAAGAACAATTCCTGAGTATAAATGTAGAATAATCACACTGACTGAAGCCAGTTTTCCAGATTTATAAGGTATACGGAATCAGAGTTCAGCCTCTGCAAATTATTTGCACATACAGATTATTTGGTACATAACAAAATCCATTGTGAAAGGGACTTATTCACCTCATTGCGTTTCTTCAGGAGCCAGAAACCCATTTTTTAGTTTGAAATGACCACTCTCTGCAACCCTGTAAATTAATGTTGCCATTTATTTGGGGAGATAATTGGCTTTATATTGCCAGTGAAATCACTTGTTAAATGTCTGTTTCCTGTATATAATCAAAGCCTCCAGGGAATAATTCAGTCATACAACTAATGGTCCTTATTCAAGTGAGTCTGTCAAGAATTTAATTACCACTTGATTTCCCAAATTGTTTTTCCATTTTTGTCATCAGCATAAATTAATCTTCCAGCTACTCACATCAATGTTTGTTTCAGTGTTTAGGAAATTGTGTAATTATAGACCAAGACTGTTGGACCCTTTTTGGAGCACACTGTCTATTGTTAGCATTTGCTAAAAACTCCACCATTTCAAGGCTGTGGGGGGAAAGATAATGTAGAGTTGTGTTTGAAAGAACATAAAGGGAAGAAGGCTTCACTGTTAAATCAAGCATCAATACATAAAATAGGGTGTTCAAGTACACATATATGTATGTGAGGTTTAGGGATCAGTATTTCCATTTAGACTTTCAGCGTTCAAACAGAAGTGATGTAAGCTGTCCAGCAGTACATCCTTTACTTTCTTTGTCTGGGAGAAATACAGTCTAGGTAAAGAGGGCTGCAGTAGGCCCAGGAGAACTCTTCTGGTTTGAAATCAAGATAAAATTAAGATAGAAATGGGCTTATACATTCATGACTGTGTGGGCAAGTGGTACTGCCTTAGTTTACTATCAAGGTGGAACTGAGAGAATACCTTTTCATAGGGTGTTTCTAAATTTGGCCAGGAGATGTGCATGGTAGCATTCTTTTAAACAAAATTTAGCTGAATACAGAGAATCCTTGCATTTTTTTCCCAGGTAAAAGGGTTATCCTGATGCACTTTTACCTGAATCACCTTGCTGGCCCTGACTCCTTTCTTCCCCTACAGAAGCAATGTTAAAGATCTAATAACCCACAGCAAAGGTTTCAGTAGAGGCAAAATTTCTCTGAGCTAACTATGATCTAAAAATACAAACTGTCTGGTTATTGTGGAGATTTTAAAAGTCTTATGTATGTATTGCTCATTCTTAATCCCAAAACCAGAGATAAGATACAAAGAAAGTATTACAGCTGGTGTGACGTTTGTAGCTGACCAGCTTCTGTGTATCACTACAAAGGTGTTTACCAATGTTCAGCAATACAGTTACAAACCTGTTAGCAGGGATAGCTAAAGGATAATCTTTTCAAAAGCCAAAAGTTCCTGTTTTTCAAGCCAAACTTGTGCGTGTTCCCTCATCTAGAAAATGAGCTCAGCATTTAAAAAAATGGGATTTAGAATATTTAGATCATTTTTAATTCATTTCATTGAACTCCTCCAATCCCTGGTTTTGAAGTTAAAGAATACAAAATCAGGATGGATACAAAATCAGGGATTATGAATCTTTAATTAGGGAGCTCCGGTGAAATCTTCTGGTCTGAAGTTTAAGCCAGGCAATGGATAGTACCTTTCTGTACAATACATACTTGAATTCTGATGCTGGTTATTACAGTATATTGTATAAAAAAATAAGTAAGTTAAAAAGGAATTACAGAATCACAAGATCATTTAGGTTGGAAAAGGTCTTCTAGATCGAGTCCAATCTTGAACTCAGCACTGCCAAGCCCACCACTAAACCATGTCCCCAAGCACCACAGCTACACATCTTTTCAATACCTCCAGGGATAGTGACTCAACTGCTTCCCTGGGCAGCCTGTTCCAATGCTTGGCAACCCTTTCAGTGAAGAAATTTTTCCTAATATCCAGTCTAAACCTCTCCTGGAGCAACTTGGGGCAATTTCCTCTTGTCCCGTCCCTTGTTATTTTGGAGAAAAGACTAACACCCACCTCACTACAACCTCTTCAGGCAATGGCTCCAATGACAACTTTTAACGTTTTTGTGATGTAGCTCAGAACACTCTAATTGTTGAATTCAAAAAGCATAGAGGTCGTAAAAGGGGAAGGACTATATTTCTTCTACTGTTTCTTTTAAGTATCTGTTATTGGCCAACTTCAGAAAAAGCTCCTGGGCTAACTGGATCTCTGATTTAACCCACCAGGGTTACTTTTCTTTCGTGTTCTGTTTATTTTGACCAAAAGAAACTTGTTTGTTCAGGTTCAGAGACATCATCAGAACCTTAGGTCCATTTTTAAAGATATCAAACGAGTTAGAGATGCTAATACCTGAAGTACTGATACAAACATCTCCATTTCACCAAGCAAAGATTGTGCTTCAGTTTTCTTGACCAAGTTAGTCTCTAGCTTCATTCATATAATCATAGTAATGATCTTCACCAGCTTTTCTGTTTGTTACTGAAGGTGGATGGAGTATCAAAGCAACCAGTCTACCCGTCTGGTTCCCTACGGCTGCTCCACGCTCCTGCAGCCAAGGGCAGGGTTTCCAGGGCACTGGCTACCTTAAAGTTTCAAACATTAAAAAGATAAATGGAGCTCAGATAACACAGTTATCATTTCCTGAGCATTTGCTGCCTCAGTCTATGGGGCCCACTGGTCTATGGATAATCAATGGAAAATAGAGCAGCCCAAAGGTTTATGCTGGAGGAAGCTACAGGAGTTATGTGAGCAGAAACTTAACTAAAAAGATGCTTTGTGCTATGTTGAACTCAAGCTCATATCCCAGGTATCTTCTGATGCTTACCAAAAGGAGCAGGGTTATGTATCTGCCAAAGTGGCATGCTGAAGTCTTGGTAATTCTCCCCACCGTAGCCTTCAAGCTGAACAAAAATAACCTTTCCTTTTCTAATCCTAAAACACACAGGAGCTGAGAGCTTTGCAGTCTGTTTTACTGAATCAAAACGAATGTCAAACGATGGATATATTACAGAAGGTAAAGAGATGAGCCAGTAATCTGCTTTTTTCTCAACTGCTGTAATTACAACCAGTCTTTCAGGAGACAAAAAATAGCATCTCTTTTGCTTTTCTGCCTGTCAGATCATATAGTCTTTCTTGACTGTCTCTTGAAAATATTTTTATAGTAGAAATTTTAAGTCTTGGAAGACCTTTATCAACATCTCACTTCTACTAATATTCATGGATTTTGCCTGTTCTCAGACAAGTATTCCACTATCTTGAAGTGTAACATTTAGGTAAAACTTAATTTTATGGACGTAACTGGGTTTTTATACCATAAGCTTTTTCATTTCACACCTTACTTAGCCAGGGACTCCAGAACATTGTCTTACAGACAAATACCCAGTTTCAGTTCTCAGTGACAGTCAGGGTGCATGGGGGGTGTTCACCCCATGATTACTGGGAAGCATTGCCAGATGGGTGCCCACCCGAGTGTGGCTCCTCAGCAGGGTGCCATACAGGGATGAGGTGCCTGCCAGGAAAAGGGACTGTCCCATTCCTCCAAAATCTCTCCCTGCAGCTCTGCTGCTCATCAGCAGTGCAGCTTCTGGGCTGTGACACCATATTGCTCCATCCTCATCCACTGGGGTTTGTCTGTTCAGTTAGCTTGTCATCCACAGCTCTTATTTCAGTCAGATCACCTACATTGCGCTCAGCCTACCCCTTCAAATGCCGCTGAATGTATTTATTGTGACAGTCAGAAGCTTGATGGTAGCA